CAATCAAAGGAAGGCGGGACTGGGCATGGGGACAGTGGTCATACTGTACCCTATGAACAGGTGCTGGGCTGGCACCCAGGGGCCTTCCTGAGCATGCTGGGTGTGTGTATTTGTGCCCTTGATTCAGGCTGGCTGAGACTGGGGGATGGGGGGGTGAAAAGTCTGCTGAGATGCCTCTCCCTTTCTATTTCCTTAAATAAGTAAATTTAAAAAAAAAAAAAAGAAAGAAAAAAGAAAGAAAATTAAAAAGGAAGGGGAGGCCAGTAGAGCCAGGTTTTCAGGTCTTAAAATCACAGATGTTAACTGCACCAGGAGTCCTTACCAGGGGCCCCTGCTTCCTTTGAGCAGGAGAGGAGTATCCCTCTGCTAACACGTGAAGGGAAGAATCCTTTCTGGTAAACATTTGCTAAGGGCCCAGTTAAGAATTAAGAGAGTGGACTCAGCTAGGCACTGGGGGTGTCAGTTGCATAAAATAGTCCCTTGTCTCAGGAAACCCACAGGAGAGTGGTCAGAAAGACACCAAGCAAGCAATATATCACCCAGTGAGTGTTCCTACAGGAGATCAGACATTATGGGAAATGACACTGACTATGGTCACTGAAGCTGCTGGCGGGGAGGACAGATGGGCTGTGGGAAGCAGAACTTCCAAGCAAAAGGAACTCAAGAGCAAAATTTAAGAAGCAGGAGAGTAAACATCTTCTCAGGATGTTAACACAACACACAATGACCTTGAATGAAGACAGAGAGTACACTTTGGGGGAAATAGGATGTCAAAAGCCTTCAGAGTACTGATAACAAGTTAAGTTAATCCAGGAGGCAATGATGAGAGCCGTCCACACTCAGGCCACAGGAAGGTGCTTATTCGCTCATTCATTCAGTCAACAAACATTTGGGCACCAATTCTTCTCCCAGCACTGCAGCAGGTGCCAGAGACGGGGAAAAAAAGAGAGAGAGAGAAGAGAACTACACCTTTGCCTCATGATGCCAGTGAATAAATGGTGAAAAAAGATTATGAAAACAAAGCATCTTGGAGGCTTTAGCAAAAACTATACATGGATCCAAGCCAAAACAAAGTAAGTCCGTGGAACTAGGAGGACTGGAGTCAGAAACAATTGTGTTTAAGCTGAGACAGGAAGATCTCAGAGGACCAATGTCAGCCCAGCAAAGTAGGGGAAGGAAAATCAAAAGGCGATTTTGGGGGTCTCAGGGAGGAGGACGAGCATGTGAGGAGAGTAGAGGCTGCAGAGCCATAGAGGTGGGGCCTGTAGAAGTCCACTACCGCTGGGCTGAGGATGGACACATGAGTGCAGGCTATTAGGAGGCCAGAGTGCTGACGAGGAGCAGAGTGGTTTGCTCTGGCTACTCTGGAAGACAAAGGAGGCACCTGAGAGTTGGCGGTTGTATGTGTGATCACACGAAGGGACAGCAGAGCAGGGCAACAGAGGGCAGCATGGACACAACAGACATGCTGAAGGAGGCCAAGATCACTAAACAGGGTGTGGCATCCAGCCACAGAGAGGACGAAGAAGGAAGAGGGCAACAACTCCCAGGTTTAGCGCTGAAGGGAGTATAGCTGCAAATGGTAACTGAAATGGCAGAGGAAGAAAGGTGCACTGGGGAAGAAGTGGAGTAAGTAGCTGGGTTGAGAGGGTCAGTCCTGCAGCTTCGTGGTTAAAAGAGCCACATCTCACCTGACTGGCCTCAGTTCAAATCTCAGCTCTGGCAGCTTGAAAAACACACAAGAATGTGTGCACATGTGCCCAAATCCCAACAGGATAGAACCATGGAGAAGGGATTAAAGTGTGACCACCTCCCACTGGGGGATGCCATCTCCCTCTCTCTTTTTGTCTCTCCATCTCTCTCTAGCAAGCACAGACAACATCTGGCAATTAAAAATCTAAAAAGAAGTTAGGTTTAGGAACTTGGGGTTAAAGTGGCAACTAAAGCATCCCCTGATTCACGTCCTTCACCAAGGGTCACTGGGATCTCATCTCTTTCCCAGATGGTGATGTCCATGCCTGCAACCTACTTCGTAGAACAGGCATCCTTTCTTGCATCAAGGCGAGGCCTGTTTCCCCGTAACTTTCACACGCTGATCCTCATTCCACATCCATGAGTACTTCACAAGAAGTCTACTTCTTGTCATGTCACCTCTTAATTGAAGAAGATTGTGGTTGTTTCCAACTCGCTTACTAAGGAGCTTAGATTCATAAACTTGTATGAACAGTATCAGCGTCCCAGTAAGGGGGCTGCATTTTCACAACTCAATTTCACAACAGAAGAGACAAAAGCCTAGAAAGAGGAGAAACTGTCCCCTGAATTCCTCTGCCACCCTGGCTGGACTGATTTTAGAGCTGGAAATGTCAATATTGCACTGTTGTTGTAATCTAATTCCAAACCCTTACACTGACAGCATCCGCATCTCAGAGGGAGTCTTTGGCTCTGCTCTCGGGAGACCCATTGAAATTAAACAGGGTTAAAAAAATAAATAAACCCACGTGAAGTATGACTAGTATTTCCATGAATGCAGGCAGCAATTCTGACGGTTATTTACAGTTCCACCTGCCATGAAACTAAAAACTCAAGGGTGTCGATAAATGGATTGTAATGTTGTGATGTTTAACTACGGAGAGAAGAATGCCTCAGCAGGTCCTTTTGGAAAGGCACCGACGTCTGCAGCAAATGGCAGGGAGCTGCAGGCGGCAAAGCCTTTGTCTCCTGACAATACCCAGCCTCTTCTAGAGTCTCACTGTCTCTGGGTCGGGTGGGGTCAGAGACCTTGTCCAGTAGCCCCTAATGCTCTGCTCCCTCCCAGGACCATGGACTTAGGTTTATCCAACTCGTGTAGAATATTTTACTACCTCTCAAAAGCTCCTTCCAGATTTGGACAGAAGGATTCTCATTATGATTAGCTTGACACCTGGCTCCCTGCCACACTCCTTTGTTCATTTAAGGGCCAGCAGACCAATAGTAACCTCTCTCTTTCAGGTGACAGCCCTTCAATTGTTCACTGAAACTGATCGTGGACACCTTAAGCCTCTGCATCTCCAAGGTAAACAGCCCCAGATCTCTCCTCTATTTCTTCTGTAGCCGGGTTTGAACTCTGACACTGTCACTCACCTAGGTTTTCCTAAGTGTGCTCACTCATCTAGGTCATGCTTACAATGTACAGTCTACAATGCAGCAACCCAACTGCAAATGACTGATGCTCAGTAGCAGAAACCCATGGCCCCTGTCATTGCAGGTAAAATACTTTGGCTATGTGCCCACAGCACACAACCTCTACTTAATGCAGTGTGTGATCTGGTTCTAAGAGCAGGTGTATTCATAAGCACCATGTTGATAGTTCTAATTGGTCTGTACACATCCTCTGAACAGTTTCCTGTAATCTGCCAGTCAGGTGAAATAGCTCAGTCTACAGTCACAGTTGCTCCACTGGCCATGGTGGGCCAAGCTGCACATCGGTTCCAAGTGACCTTCAAATGGACAACAAACTGGAAGCTCAGCCAGTTATGAATTTTCCATAGAACAATGCCTGACATGTAAAAGTGCTCTGAATACTAGTCGTTTATACTGTCATCATTCTGTCATCGCTGTCACTGAGATACTATTATTATTATTATTACCACCAGTTTAGTTACACTGCCCAAAGTCACTACTTTCACTTATTAGGCCCACTGTGGTACCAGGGTACCTCTGCCTTTCTTTTACAAGGGCATTTCCATCAACTCTGGGAGAATGTGTCCTTACATCTCTTCTAGGATCGCCATCAACTTACCTTCCTCTCTCTGAGCCCTTTGCCAAAAATGAACCATCCACTGCCCAGGCACAATGACTTCATGTAGTTACTCCATGGAGGCTGTGACCAACTGAGGAAGTGGCCAAAGGGCAGGAGAAGGGACAGGGTGTGGCGCTGGACCTTAGCAGTGCACAGATGTAGCCTAGTGAAGGATCCGGAGCGCTCCCTGTTGTACAGAACAAAGTCCCACCTTGTTTATATTCAGTCAGTTCACCCAAGGCAAATCTCAGAAAAGTGAAGTGGAGCTCCTAATTAAAAGGTAGCCTTGAGCTGCCAATAAAATTATGCATAAAGGAAATGTTTAGAAACACAGTAGTGACTTTCTTGAGATGGATATTAATTTGAGATCTTTTTAAATTTATTTATTTAATTCAAGTATGGGGGTAAATAAAAAGAAAGCCTGCTTTGCAACACTGCTATTCCCTACCTCCCCGAAGCTTCGGAAACCATCTTTGACACGCAAAACATGGCAAGGCGTTTGAAACTGCTGGCTGGAAAAATGGCGAGCCTTGTCTTTTCTATTTATTTCTGGAAAGCAGCAGGGATTATCATTTGTTTTTATTTGTTTGGGGAGGGCAAACTCCTTTGTTGCATCCCTGTGCTCAGGCTGTCAGTATGACTAATCATCTCTCATGCCCAGCCCAGGCCTGACAGCTCCAGCAAGCCTCTCCCACAGCACCCTGGCTTCCTCTATCACAATTCACATCGCAATGTGCAGTGTGCACTTGTTAACCTATCTGTCTCCTCCGCTAGGCTGTGAATGTCCAGATCTGTTATCTCCATTTTCTCAGCACCCAGTTTAGAGCATGCTTCAAACAATGACAACAAAATGAATAAATGAATGGATAGGTGGACTAGTGAATGAAGAGCTAAGTGTTTCCTCAGGACCGAACACTTTTCTCCCTTACAACATAGGGATCAACTTGAGGAACCAGGTATTTGACATGTACATACCCCCCACACTGTGCCGCTGCACAGCAGGTACCCTTAATTTTGCTCCTTTTCTCCTCCCATTCCCCACTGCCTCGAACTACCTGTGCAACCCTAGGTAAGTCATTTCCCAAGACAAGGCATCAATATTGTATTGCTTTACCAAATGAGAAATTGGAATCAGATGGTTTTGAGTTTCAACAGGAGGATTCTTGGCTGCTAGTCCTCCCTTTCATCTCTCCTCGCCTCTGGCTTTGGCTTCTATTCTTACCTTCGAAGCTCCCAGCAAACAGGTAAACCCAGGTGATGGCTGGGATGCAGAGAAGAGTCAAGGAGGCAGCCAGGAATTTCCGTCTCCCTCTGCAGATTCCCAGCATCCTCTCGGAAGTGGCAATCCCTAATCCCAGCGCCGTTTCTCTGTCTGGAGCGTGAAGTCCTCGGCCTCCCTCATAATACTTTCTGAAAGACAAAGCAAAGAAGGGGCTGAATTTTTCACACTGTAAAGGGATGCAAACTGTAGAAATGAAATATTTTGTAGAATCTGAAAGTAGTTCACTTGGTCCACCTGGCCTGATTTCCTGCTAACCCCTTATCCCAAGGGATGACGCTGCAATCTTGCAGCTTATGAGAACTGAGACTAGTTCATGAACAGCAAAAACTGTCAGGAATCTCTGTCTCTCTCTCCTCCTTCCACACACACAATTTACAGCACACACAAGTAGTTTACAGGATAGAGCAGCTTTGAGGCCTGAATACATTTAAAGCAGCATTTAGACTGCTTGCCTCCTTTATGTACTAACCAGATGCTATACTTCCAGAGAAGACTAGAACAGCTGCTGGCTGCAAAGACCGACATAAAACACCCACAGGAACCCCGGGAACACGACCCTTGAGATTTGCACACTGCTCCAGAAGGGCCGATGAAGTAGCTCACTAACCCTGATGTATACAGCCCAGAGGGCAGACTGCTCCTATGTTCCAGGAAGAGGCTGCAAAAGGTGCCCAGGGCAGACTGAAGGGCACGTGCGCAGGAAAGGAGATCAGAAAGGCTGCAATATTCATCTGCATGAGACCGTACCTCAACCACAGCTGGAAACTAGAACACTCAATAGGTACTGTCTCATTAATGTCCACCGTCAACATGGAAGAAAAAACTCAGGAAGGCACGGGAACAATACAAACTTACAGTGAATGGACAGGAACAAACAGAATAACCTATCACCAGCCCAGTGGGGGACCAGCCTTAGGTCACAGAAGAAGCTGGCTGTGATGTGCTTTAGAGTGAAAGGTCAACACAGATGAGGAACCTATGATCTTCCAACTGACTATTTGATCAGAAATCATGTGACTTATGAAAGAGTTTAAAAAAAAAAAAAAAACACTAGAGCCTATAGCCTAGTGGTTAAGGAAGCTTGATTCCGTATAGCCTATCAAGGTTTGAATTCCAGGCCAGCAGCTTGAAAAATATGCAGGGAATTTCTGTGTACCCATAATCCAGACAGAATAATGGAAGAGAAGGGACTATGACATGACCACATCCCATTAGGGGGTGCTTTCTCTCTCTCCTTCTCTTTCATCTTTCCACCTCTCTCTGGTGAGCACACATGCCCTCTGACAATAAAAATAATAATAACAGCAATCACCCAGTAAGCCACAAAAGCTCATCTCTCTGCACATATTAATGTAGATGTCATGCTGGCTACAGGTAGACAGAAACATCCATGGAGCCTCCCTCACAGAGTACAACCCCTTGCAGACAGCTATAAAAGGCTTCAGAGGGACCAGCAGTTGGCTTAATGGCTATGTCACTGGACTCCCACGTAGTCGACCACGGTTCGCATCCTGGACCCTGTGGCTTAAAACTCACGCCGGGCGGCTCCTTGGACTCCAGGTTGGTTGCCTGGGACTTTAAGGTGACCCCCCACCCCTCCCCACCTGAAACCCGGATCGAGCCGGCCAGCAGTTCCAGACACCAGGCGGACTGAGGCTGCAGACCCGACCAACCTGGTACTGTCACTCATTGTCTGATCCTTTTCCACTAGCCTTTGGACTGTTTGAATTTTGGTGATTTGAATAGCGCGCGGCGCGCAATGCGCCGCGCGATTTTCTTTTTCCATTTTGTTTTTCTTTGCTCTTGGGGCGTTACTATTTGGTCAGTTGAAGGCTCACCACTCCTTAGATACAGCAAGGACTTTGGGCCTTCCAGGGCTAGTGGCAACAGTTAATGGTAATTGTGAGTAGCAGGTAGGCCAACCATAAGATAAATCATCAATCTTCTAAGCCTGTACAACTTTTAAGAATCAGAGATACCTTAAATAAGTTAGCAAGAAACATA